AGTTTATTTGACGGTTAGATAAATTCTAAAAAAAAAAAAATTTTATTTCATAAATTCAAATCATTTTCAGATGCTACGGAAGTATCCTTTTTAGAAGGTAATTCCATGTATTATAAACACATTTAAATATGATAATAAATTTGTATTCACTAACAATTAAAATTTTAAACATGAAATCAGCTTCAAGTAACGAAGGTAAATAATAAGTAATTTACTAAGCCAAGAAGATCTAATAACTTAATACTTTAATGGAATTCGTTAATTATATGTTTATTTACTTATTTACTAAAAAATTTTAAAAATTTGAAATATAGAATTAGTTTCGAGTGATGAAGGTAAATATAATAGAAATAGAAATATTTAACAATTATAATAATCTATTAATTTTGTTCTCAACAATAAATATATTATGATAGAGCCAGTTTCGGATACTTCTGATGCTCCTTCAAGAGAACTATATGGTAATGAACATTTTATTTTTTATTTTTATTTAAAAATAAATACTGTAAAATAAAAAAAACTAAAATTAAATTCGCAGCATATAACTTCTACATTAAACAAACTCTATTATCATTCTTGCTAATAGGATTACACAACAATATGGAATCGCCAACCGCATGGGATATTGGACGTAATCTTTTAAAAATAGATTCAGACAAACTTATAGTGACTTATACAGGTGAATTTTACATTTTATGATGTTTAACAATTATAATTTTACTGTTTTCGTATGTAATTACTTATTTTGCATACTGCAATTATTTTCGAATATAAAGGTCTGGGTGGATATAAAAACTGTGCTGCAATTCGAGCAAATTTTCCAATTCCTGAACAATGTGGATTGTTTTATTTTGAAGTAGACATTATAGATAAAGGGGAAAATGGGTATGTTAATACAGTTTTTCCGTTATATATAAGTTGATTATTTAAAATTTGCCAATAATTCTATTTTTCAAATTCCATAGGGGGATTGGCATCGGGTTTTGCACAAAATCAGCTAGATTAAATAAAATGCCAGGTAATTTTACCTTATTTTTATAAGCTTAATTTGTTAAATAAATTATTTGTTGAATTATTATATGTTAGGCTTTGAAGATATTTCGTGGGGTTATAATGGCGATGATGGAAAATCGTATAACGCTTATGGCAAACCATATGGAACAGGTTTTATGACCGGAGATACTATTGGATGTTGCTTAAACTTTAGAAATAATACGGTATTTTATACAAGAAACGGAGTGAATCTAGGTATATTATAAATTCTTGGTTATTTTGAGTTAAATAATAGAAATTTAATTTTTATTGTATATTTTAAGGTATTGCATTTCGAGATTTGAAAAAAGCTTTGTATCCTTGTGTTGGAATGAAGTCACCAGGTGGATCTGTAGGAGCAAACTTTGGCTATAGAAAGTTCAAATACACAGGTATACTTATTTAGTTTATTTTTATTTTATTTTCTGTATTAATATTAATTATCATTTAGTGATGAATGATGATGATATTGATGAATCTTTAAAGGAGGATTGGGCTGAAATTCTTAACCCTTATAATGATAAATTAATAAGTCAACAGATTAATAGATTTACAGATTTAAATTTATCATCAGATGCTGAACACATACTAAAATACCGAGGAAAGCTTTATTTTATTATAGGTGAATATGAACTAGCACTTTCAGATTTGAAAAGGTTGCTGGAATTTGAAGCAAATAATATATTTGCGTTAAGATATCAAGGAGAAACTTTTTGTATGATGGAAAAATATGAGGAATCACTTGCAGATTTAAACAAATTACTAGAAATCAAAGCAAATGACATATGGACGTTAAATGCCATTGAAGTAGTTAATAAGTTGAGTATAAAGTTAGTTTATATTAAGGATAAATTTAATAATTCTTTTCTAATTAATAAAATATCAAATTTTCAGCAAAGATTTAAATGGTAATAGATTATTTTTAGCAACATAAATTGTAATATACATTTATGTTGTATTTGCTAATAATTTATTATTAATTAAATTTTTTATTTTATATTAATATTATAGCTTGTAAGCTATTTATTTTTTATATGTCTTAACTTATAAATTAAACTTTTTAATTAAACAATATCTATACCGTAGGGAGTAAGTTATCTTTAATTTTTTTATTGCAACTTAAACATAACCAATTTCTTTTAAAAAAATTTTAATGGTATTTTAGTTGGTAAGTTATTTCAATGAAGTATATTATATTTAATTATAATTTTTATAATAATTTTAATTCTCCAAATTTTTATTTATAGATCGTAAGTTATGTTTATTAATAAAATTAACTATAATTGTTACTACAATATCAATCAAAAATGCTAATATATTATTAATATTATAGAAAGTTAATATTTTAATTAATCAATTATATTTTTTATTTTAATTAAATTTAAACTCAACTAAATTTTTTATTTAAAAAATAATTAACGATTAATAATATAATAGATGGTAAGTTATTTTTATTGATTATCAGTATTTAATTATACTTTTTACTGTAATTTAAATTCAACTAAATTTTTTATTTA